AGTGAATCCTTCACCAGAGGCCATCGTCAGTGCTGCAGAGATAAAGCTCTTGATTCTGGCATATAAGGTTATATTTAAGATTCTCTAATAGCCCAGGTTCAACAGGACAAAACAGAATCATGTATGGGTTTCTTGGAAAAACAACAACAACAACAAAAAGAAACACTAGCTTTTCTGATTAATTTGGTCTTTAATAAAAAAGGCTCCATGTTAATGTTTTCTTATTTGTTCCCTCTATTTTCTGGATAGAAATATAGCTTCAGGTCAGGTCCTTCTAAATGAAACTGCCGAGCCAGAATCTGAATAGGCTTCATCTTTGCCATCAAATACAGTTTGCCTTATTATCATTCGGGACTATTTAATCCAAACCAATGGGAGGCGAGCCCTGAGTGATGACCCCCAGCTAAAGAGTCTCAGAGCTTACTTCTGGCCCCGACAAATATGAAGTGGTGGTGTGCTGTTGCCCGCTGTCAGAGACAGAGTGAGCAGGGCGTAAATGTTGTGTTTGCTCCATCTGCAAGTGTTATAATAAGTTATTCAAAGCTCTTAGCACAGGACCAACCAGAGCGTGCCTCCCTCTCAGTTCCAGCACGTTATCCTGCCCATCAGATGGATGCTCCTCTGCTGGAGTCTTTGGAAGGTTCTGGTGTCTTTTATTTTAATTGGCGGGCTAGAGCCGACTCCTAGGGTGTGATTTTCATTAGAGAGGGGCTGGAGAGAGGGAGTGTTGGAACAGCCCTCCAAACCCAACCATGAATATTAAACATAATACAATTACAGCTCTCGGACCAATTATTTTTCTTTTCAACGGGCAAACGACGAAATACTCGCTAGATAGGAATTCACGATATCTACCATTGGCTTCTTTCTGGCCCTGGAATCCATTGTCTTGGCAGGATTTTGTGCCCATTTGTCGTGCTACCTGTTTCCCAGCATCGAGTCTCTGACTGGAGGGCTGAGGTTGCACGCCTGGCCAAGGGACACGGTTCAGGTTGGTGGCGCACGCTGTCAGATGCTCGAGGCAGACACCGGTTTCTTAATGTGGATTTGAATGGCTCGTGTGGACTTTGCACACCGTAGGGTGTGCTATTTCTGTCTGTTGACGAGAAAGCAGAGTGATGCCTCTCTAAGGAGATGTCATAAATGCTTTTCCTTTTTTCCTGGGGGGAGAAGTTCAAATCTCTTTTGGCCCGTTTTTGTTTTCCTTAGTGATGTTACACAAATGCTGTATCTTTTGATGTACTTGTTTGTTTTGTTTGGAGCCATCCATGCTGGTATCTAAATACAATAGGAAAACAGATGGCAAACTTTGAACTTCTGGACCAAATTTGTGTTTGCCTTTGTCTCCCTAACAGCCAAACTGTAAATTATGGAGTATAAATATTCAACAGAGGAGCTCTTTATGAAAATCACCCCAGCAAAATAGACCCTTATTAACCAAATATGCGCTGAAAAGTACTTGGGCTAGAATCTCCCCCCCGACCCCATCCTTTACAAGGTGCTGTGAGTGAGCAGTGCAGCTGTGCCTACGGGCAGTGCTCCCTTCACAGCATTTACACCTTTTCTCCCTTCTCTTTCGCACAAATGCCTCAAGTGGCTCTAACTGCGGAGAGGGAGACTTTTGTTTTCCGAGCCTGTTCGTGCTCTCCCCGCATCTGTAGCCCCCGACCCCTCCCTGAGTAGGGAGGGCCGCGCGGCCCTAGTCACAGAGCTCGTCAGCGCGCTGCGGGGCCTGGACGGTTCCCCGCGCCGGCCAGGAAGAACGAGCGCATCTCCATGTTCTGGGACCACGTATTTCTCCAGTCCAGTTTTATCTGGAGCGTATGTAAGCTATGTATCCAGTTTAGTCACGGAATGCCTGTGCATCCACCCCCCAGCTTAAGAAACAGCACAGCCCGTACCCCTGAAGAACTCGGGGTGCCCCCTCCCCTCTCACGAATGAGTTCCTGTTTCTGAAACAACCCCGCAGTGTCTCCACTTAGAAGGAAAAGGTGCCTTTATCCCCTTCGTTCTGCTCTTGCCCATCTTCCCCAGGTACCTGCTGTCACCAGTTTGTGTCCTTCCAGAATCTTAAGATTTTTCCCTTTATTTTTTCCTTTCAAAGAGAGAGTGGGGGCGGGGGGCGGGGGGCGAGGGCGGCAGAGAGAGACTCTTAAGCAGGCTCCACACCCAGCGCTCGGAGCCCAACACAGGACTTGATCTCACAGCCCCGAGATCAAGCCCTGAGCTGAAACTGAGTCCGACGCTTAACGGACTGAGCCACCCAGGCACCCCCAAAATCTTAAAATTTTCCAGCTTCACTTAAACAGGTGACCTACACATTCAGAGCTGAATTCAAAAGCACAACAGAGAAGCCAGGCTTCTGGGCACTTCTCTTCCTGAGCAGCCCGGTCCTCCTCCACGGGGTGTCTGCACGCCCACACCTGTCACAGCCCCGGGCCACGCTCCTCACGAGTGGCAGTGGCTTGGTGAGCGCCGCCTGCTGGCCGGGCGGCCCTGCCCCCCCCCCCCCCCGAGAGTCCCGGCCCCTCTGTTCCCAGCCCTAGACCGGTGATGGCTTTATTCCTCAGGTTGCTTTTAGGACCTCTTTCTGTCACTTCAGTAGGATACTTAGAAATATGTAATTCTTATTTTGATTAGTGCTCATGGAGTGTGAGTATGCATGCCTTTCATGAATTCTAGAAAAATACCAATCATTAACTCTACGGATATTGCCCCATGGTGAACTGTCCCCTTCTATCATTTGCATCTCTTAACCCCTCAGTCACATTTTTCATGTTTATCTGTGCTCCATTTTAGGTTATCTTTCAAATTTATTGTCTAATACACAAATTCTTCTGAATTTAATTTCAGGAGTGGTATTTTCATTTCCGGAAGTTTTATGTGGCTTTTTTTTTTTAAGGCAGGCGTCTTGACTCCAACTCCCCACCCCATTTTGGGTGGGCCCGAGTCTTACCGTCTTGCCGCTGGTCCCTGAGGTCGGCACCTGCCAGAAGGCTCGCCCCACCCCAGGTTGTCCAGGCTGCTCTCCAGCTTGGGCCCTGGGGCAGTCGCTTGCTTTGTGACCCCAGCAGTGCCTTTTAAAGGGTGTTATTTATCCAGCAGTACTAAGTGATTTTCAGTGGGAGGGTAAGTTGTCTGAAACAGAAACTCCATCTTTTGCTACTAAAAACAGTGCTGTAGCTAATGGCCTTATATGTCCATGTGTGTATTTTTATACACATATTAGATACAGCCTAGATAAATTCCTAGAAACAAAACTGCTAGGTCAAAAGTAAAGTATACTGTTTGTTGAATATTGCCAGATCACACCCCAAAGAGGCATGCTCACATCAGGCATACATAAGTACCTGTCTGTCCAAGGCTCCCCAGCATGAAGGGTCTCACAGAGTTTACTACCAAACTTGACCTTTGCCAGGTAGATAGATAGGCAACAGGTGGTATCCAAATGTAATTTTAGTTCATAATTTCTCATTACCAGTGAACACATCTCACACATGTTTAAAAGCCATTAGTATTTTCCTGTTAACTTTTTTTCTTAGCTTTTCTCTTATTTTAATATTGGGTTGCCAATCTTTACTTTCAATTCGAATGAATTTTTTTAACAAGAAATTAGCCAGTTACCTCTGTTGCAAACATTTCCCCCCGTTTATCATTTGCCTTGACTTTGATTTTTTTTTCCCCATGTAGGAAAATTTTAAACACTTTTATATATAGTTATCAATATCTTCCTTCTTGACTTTGAGGTTTTTTTGGTTTAGAAGGGCCTTCCCTATTCTGAATATTCTTGTAGCTAATTATACTTAACTCTTTGAGCCATCTAGAATTTATTTTGATGCAATGTAGCTGGTGGAGCTCCAAGTTGAGAAAGTTATTATAGGGTATAGTCTTTAATTGCTTTTATAAGTGAGATCTTTTCTTTGAGTACAGTTTTTAAAACTAGTGGTTGTTTGTACCTAAGATAGCTATTGATTTTGACATATTAATTTCATTTGATTCTGAGTTATTACTGAATTATCTTCAACTATCATTTCTAATAAACTTGTCCACTTCTCATTTATTCTTGTATCTAATTGTACCTAATTTTTATTTTTTTAAAAAAGATTTTATTTATTTACTTGAGAGAATGAGAGACAGAGAGCATGAGAGGGAGGAGGGTCAGAGGGAGAAGCAGACTCCCCGCCGAGCAGGGAGCCCGACGCGGGACTCGATCCGGGGACTCCAGGAGCATGACCTGAGCCGAAGGCAGTCGCTTAACCAACTGAGCCACCCAGGCACCCTAATTGTACCTAATTTTTAAAACAATGTGAAGTATTAGTAAAAGATCACTGTTTATCTTAAAGCCTTCATTAGAAATAAGTGCTCTATCTCCTCACGTTTCAGTATCCATGATTTGTTGTAGGGACTCGGTGAACTAGATTAATAGATATCCTTGACGAATTCTGTATTTTGGCCCGAGCGCTGACACCGATCTCGTGTTGTCTTTGATACCCTGCTGTCACGGTCAGTTTGGGGGAGGACAGAATGCCGGCTTCACAGACAGACGTGGGAAGCCTTGCCGGGCTGTGGAGCGGTGTGCAGAGTCCCTGGGCTCTTCCGTCCAGGAGGGGCCCATTTAGCTGGTTTGTGGGGTAGTTGCGCCCTTGATGGCTTTCTCAGTCTGCTCCTTGTAGCCCTTTCTATCCTTGGGGGGGCAGGGCAGGTCAGTTTGGGTAATTCTCATTTTTCTAGAAAGTTGTTTATTTCATTTAGGTTTTCAAATTTGGAGACTTAAGAAAATCAGCTTAAACCTGAGTAGATTATGACTCAAGAAACTGAATTACTTAAAAAAAAACTGCAAAAACTAGGTCCATGTAAGTTTTCTTCCCCCCCCCCCCCCCAACCCCGGGCGGTTTTACCAAACATTTACTAAACTCTCCCCTTCGTCATTCTAAAGCTTCTTGTCCTGAAGTCCACCCTTCCTGTGTTGTTCTACTTTGTGATCCATTCAGAGCACTTACTGTTGTTAATATGTGGGTTTGTCCTGCGTGCATCCATGACTGAGGAAGCATGTTAGGTCTTGAGTGGTCGATCTGGTGCTACATTTGAGTGTTTTATTCATCTCTCCAGGGCCTGTGTGTTCTGCCAGGATTTTGCTACATCCCTTTATTTTCGAAAGTATCCACAGGTAGCTGATTTGGGGTCTTTTTCTGTTAAAAAAAAAAAAAATCTTAATTATGCATTTAAACTTGGTAGCTACACCGGATATAGAATTTTTGGTTCAAATTAATGTTCCTCATAACTCTGAAAACAATAGATCTAGTGTGTGCATGCTCATAACTGAGAGTTTAGGACACAGAATGTGTTTCAGATCATCTCCCCTCAACACTTGTCGGGACCACATATAACATGTCAGCATTGGGTTTGTCCAGCTCCCCCGCTGGGTGGTAGGGTCTTTTCCTTCTTGACTTGCAGCGCAGAGGCTGTTAAATTCACCTGTACTGAAATTTTGCCACATTTAATTTTTGCTCTTGTGGCTTATTTCCAGAACTATGTTGGTGTTTCTGCTGGATGAGAAATTTCTGTCTCATTATCTAATTTGTCCATATGTGGAAATTCAACATATTCTTAGGTAAAGAGTAAAGAGGTTCTTAAATTCAGATTATGACAAAGCAAGTAATTGCTTTGAGACTTCAGATAAGTGGCAGCCAACTGTCCACATAGTCAACCATAGACAGACACATCCCTTTCCAAATTTCAACAAGAAGGTAATGAACTTACAGAGTCAGTTAAAGACCGGAAAAGTGTTATTTCCCAACCGGGTAAGGATCTGGGTTGCAGACGCGTGTGGCTGGTTTATCTGCTGCCCTTAACAGAATCTTAGACGGCCAGCACTACTACTGTGCTGGACACCTCACTTACCACTGGGACAGCCTGCACAGTTGCACGCCAGTCCCCGCTCACCTTCCCTCGGAGCAGACTCGTGCTCAGGGCAGGCGTCTTCCCTGTCGAGCAGAGAAAGCATGGTATTTCTCTTGAGTCTCTCTTGTTCCAGGGGCTTTTAAGTCATTCTGACTAGAGAGTTGCAAGCACTGTAAGCGAGCTCATTCCTCGTGCATCTTAGCCTCTGTGACCATGCATAAGGGGATACAACGTCCCTGCTGGTAGTTAGATGTTTGCAACCGAAGGGGTTTTTGTATGTTCTGTTTTCACAAAATCGTTGTGCATAGACCAGCACCACTGGGGATGAATGTGTCATTTCAGGCTTTAACTTGCCTCCCATTTCCCTTCTCTGTGCTTGTCGTGGGCCTTCCAGGGTGAGGATCCACGACCTCCGCACTGACAAAATCGCCCTGTCGCTGTCTGCCCACCAACTGGGAGTCTCTGCAGTGCAGATGGATGACTGGAAAATCGTCAGCGGAGGCGAGGAAGGCCTGGTCTCCGTGTGGGATTATAGGATGAGCCAAAAGCTGTGGGAAGTGCACTCCAGGTAACGGGGTGCTCACGGTGCCAGGCGGCCTCTGAGCCAGCTCCCCACACCGTCGTTGGCGTAGCCCCTGGGCCGGCTGCAGGGGTTCCGTTTCTCAGGCCAGGAACCCCGGTCCCTGGAGAGGCAGCTCCTCTGTTATCGCTGCCAGGACTCCTGCCCAGCTCGGGTCGACAAGACCCAGTGGAGTCTCCGACGCATAAGGTAGGGCAGCCAGGTCAAGGTGCAAAAGCAGGCAAGGTTAAAAGACGAATTGGCTGCTGCTTAGAGAGCACTGGGAGCTAGTGCTCACTCCCTTCAGCAGCTTTTATTTTTTTTTTTTAAAGATTTTATTTATTTGGGAGAGATATTTGAGAGAGAGAGAGAATGAGAGATAGAAAGCATGAGAAGGAAGAGGGTCAGAGGGAGAAGCAGACTCCCTGCTGAGCAGGGAGCCCGATGCGGGACTCGATCCCGGGACTCCAGGATCATGACCTGAGCCGAAGGCAGTCGCTTAACCAACTGAGCCACCCAGGTGCCCCCTTCAGCAGCTTTTATTAGACTCGAGCCCTGGGTGACTGCTGGACTCTCTCCAGCCGGGCCTTACTCAGCGAGCAGGTGTGTCATCTTTTTTCCGGCTTTCTGTGGTGATGCGTGGACTTGCCACCAGGTGGTGCCAGAAGGCAGCTAGAACTCGGCCATGGTGCCATTCCCCGAAAGAACTGCCTTAAGCAGCCGGTCCACCTCCCCTTCTAGGGCAGCTCTCCCTGCAGCTCCGGCCCCAGGGTATGGCACTATCCCCTCTCTAGCCATTGTTGCACATTGTCGCAGCATGAAAGCACCTGCAGATGGTCCATACCTCCATGGTAAAGGAGGGGGCTTTTAGGACTCAGCCCCACACCATGAGCTGGGGAACCTGGAGAACTTACCCAAGGCCAGCCAGCCCGAAATGGGGCTGTTCTCTACCGCAGGCGGCTAACTTCCTTGACATCCGAAACACCATGTTGCTGGGTAGTCAACCAGACAAGCACCCAGGCTTGTCCTCTGTCAATGAGAAGCTTGGCATAGGGTTCTAGAGCCCAGTTTCAGGGGGCTCCCTTTCCTACGGCTCTCCTGTTGTGTTCCAGGCACCCCGTTCGTCACCTGGCCTTCACCAGCCACAGCCTCATCACGGCCAACGTGCCCTACGAGAGGGTGGTGCGCAACACGGACCTGGACAACTTCACTGCTCACAGAAGGTCAGTGGGCTGGGGCTGCAAGGGTTCAGAGCAGCCCCTCTCGGTTTGATGTTGTGAGGAGAACCCCGCCAGGGTCCTCTCTCAGGCACGGCCGTGCTAGCAGTTGTGAGCGCCTCCCCGGGAGAGCTGGGGCGCCCAGGGGCCTGGCCAAGCCCCGTCCTCCTCAAGCTGCGGGGTGACTCTCCCTCTCTCCCCCCCTCCGCCCCGGCCATGCCCTCGGCCAGACTTGTCTCGAGTCCGGGGATTCCGAGTGTCCGAGGGACACGCGTGTTACGGGAAGCACTGTCCTGGGTGCAGCCTGGGGTGGGGGCTGGCAGCGCTGTGCTGACGTGCTCGCTGGCCCTGTGCTTCCTCTAGGCACCGCGGGCTGATCCACGCCTATGAGTTCGCCGTGGACCGGCTGGCCTTCCAGAGTGCGCTTCCCGTCTGCCGAGCATCTGGCGACACGGCGCCGGCCTACAGCTACGACCTTGCGCTCGCCTTTCCCTAGGACTGTGGTTGAGGGCGCCCCTCGTGGGGGAGCTGGGAGAAGAAAGCCCCCCTCCCGCCCCAGCCTAGCCCACACCTGTCGGACCCCACAGGTTCCTGAACTGCCTGTGGGCAGGACAATGGCGTTGTTTTCTCTCTCGGGCTCTGAGTGCCACACACTGTCCCTCCTTCCTCCTGCATCTGCTGCCCTGGTGATGGGGTGGGTCTCCCCCCGCCATCTGTACACTACCCTGCAGGGCCCTGCTCGCCACCTTTCCAGTCTTCAAGCCCTTTGCTCTCAGGGGAATGGGGCTCTGAGATCACATATGCACTCTGGGTTGTCCATTACCCCCCCCCCCCCCCCCCCCCCGTGCAAACCTAGGCTAGCAGGACTCTCTTCTCAGTTTTTACCACAGTTTATAATTATTTATACACTTACTGCATTAAGGACTGTTTACTTTGTATCACATGTTGTGGACACCACAGATTATTTTCTACCAATCGGCTGCAAAAACACCCTCCACCTAGGATGGACAAGCTGGATCCTAAACCACTGGGCGAAAGCAGGGCAGTACTGGGGAACTCTTCCAAAAGATTAAGAGGGCAAACCATTGCATTACTCTTGACTTAGACTGTTCTGAGCAGTGGCCACTAATATCCCTTCAAAATATGAAAGCAAAAATTGATAGAACTACAAAGAGAAAGTCCATGTTCCTAGTGCGTGATCAACAGATACAATCAGTAAAAAAAAAAAAAAAAAAAGGATTCAGAGGATTTACTTAATAGAATTAGGGTTTTGTGCCTTTTTAAATATCCACAGACCACGCACAGAAAATGGCTGTCTGAAGACCACAAAGACACATCCAGGCCCAAGTCAGTGGACCCCCTGATGCAATAAAATTAGATAAAGTGAAAAAAATGGAAAATGTGAACCCTCTGGGCCATGAAAACACTGAATATCAAAACCCCAGGGGTGAGGCCAGAGTAGACAAAGAGAAGTGAGGCAAAAATAGATAAATGGATAGCTGTCACCTCAACTAGTGACCCCAAAGGAAGGAATTAAGGGTTATGATGGAATAGAAAACCAACAAATCACAAAGTTAATCATAACACCAAAACCCTATGCTTGCCCCATTTTACACCAGACCAGCCTTTGGAAAGCCAAAAAAAATTTTTTTTTAGTGAGTAGAGGGGCAAGTGAGAGAATCCTAAGCAGACTCCCCGCTGAGTACAGGGCTCGATCCCACAACCCCAAGATCAAGAGCAGGATGCCCAGCTGACTGAGCCACCCAGGCGCCTCCAGAATACACACCTCTTGATACAGAAAAGCACAAGGGGCTGTGAGAAACCGAAAAAAGGAGGTAATTATGCACACAGGATTTTCAGGGTGGGGATGATCTACCCACATGAGTCCGAGAGAAAAACAAAGCTCTCCTACTGTACATGAGTGTATAAAATTGGAAGTATTTTCAGAGTGCTTAAGATATTCCATCATTACAAACCTCTGTGCAACTCGATAGGACAGTGGACCCAGAGAAAGAGCCGCACCTGGGACTCGTCCCTTGCTTTCAGACGGCCTTCTGCTTCCTTTCAACCAAATTACTTCCGAAATGAAGCTAGTCTGCAGTTCGCAGATGAAGTATTTACTCCTGTTGTCATGTGGTGCTCTGACCCCCTCGTGACCCTGCTAAGGTTTTTCATCTCTCAGAGCCCTAGTGCAACTGGACCGCTAAGTAAACACATTTTTCTTTTAAGAGGCAGGCCCTTTCAGTTTGAGTTCACCACTCATCTTACAGATGTGTTCTCCCTTCCCAGCTTTGCAGCCATGAAAGGTCCTTGAAAACCCAGAAAATTCTACCAAAACTAAAAATAGTTTTAAACTATTGTCATTTGCTGCCAACAGTAGTCCAGTATAAAATGTCACGATTATAGGGGTTTTCTTTCCTCCCCAACCGGTTTATAACCTCTCTCAAGGAAAATTGCCTGGTTCTGTGAAGGAGGGTTTATCAGAGCCAGACTGAATCCGAGTTTGCTGCTGCAAACTTTACACCGTGGAAGGTGGGGAAAGGACCAGAGTTCCTCTAGAAATCAACATTTACCCAGTGACTTAAAGAAAACCCTTTGGCCCACGTCCACCCCTTCCCCTCACCCCACCTTACCTTCATCCCCGTTGGCTAGTTTGAGGGAGTTTCTTTGCAAGTTCAGAGTTGTGAGCAGATGTATCATTTCCTTTTTTTCTGTAGCTCTTCTGCTGCTCAGACTCTTCCCCCTCCGTCTCCCCTAAAGAGAGGAAACTCATGTCACTGGGGGAGCCAGAGGGCCCAGTACCCCAGAGCTCTTGGGTCTTAAAATGTCATCTGCCTTTTGCTTATACTTTATAAAATGTCTTTTGGTTCTAATAAATTTTTAAAATCCGTTGCTTGTTCACTTACTGGTTTCCCTGGCCAGGTATCCTGGGACCTACCCCCGCCTACCACAGTTCCTGCTCTGGCTCAGAGTAGAGTTGAACCACCCAGAACCACCCCTTCCACAGGTTCCTAGCCCGGGGTCCAAGAGACCCAAAACTACACAGGAGCACTTTCTGGGAAGAAGTCCGGTTGGCTTTCATCAGATTCTCAAAGGGGACTGCTGGGCCCACCCCAGCCCAGAGAATTTCTTCTTTGCCCCTAGACTGTGCCTTTTAAGCCAAGCCATGAGCTGCCTTGGTGCGGCTGTTGCCCAGCCAATAACGTGTTTAAAAGCTACTCTGGGGATGGCCTCACCTTCCCCAGGAGGGAGAAATCGCACCTTGGGCTGACGATGCCCCCAAGAGGAGACTTTTGGTCTGTTCTGAAAGGGAAAGAGGAAGTCCCCTACCGCAGCACCCCACTTCAGAATTACAGGCCCCACATTTAGGCGGATGGCACTCCCCCCCACCCCCGCACTTAAATGACAAACACCAGCTTACTGCAGACGGACCCTGCCCACCATGGAAGAGAAATTGCTTCCCCCTGTGAGGGCACAGCCCTCCCGTTAGAACCGTCTGGTGGCCTGCCATCACAGGCAGCGGCTGCAGCGGCGGCCAGGAGCTTCTGTGAGCCACGCAGGCCCGCCCGCCTCGCCCCTGCGGCCAGGCCAGATGCTTACCTGGCTGCTCGGGCAGGCCCTGCCGGCCTCGCTCTGGCTAGGGCCGCCTCTGCCGTGTGGTGGCGGCTTCCCTCTCGCTGGTCTCCGGCAGGCGCCAGGCAGGGCAGGCTTTCGGTCTCCGATGCTCACCTCAGGCTCCCAGCAGCAGGCTTTCCACGCCTGCTTGGCACCAAGGGCCTTTCCTTCCCTTGGGATGGAGGGAACACTATCTGCAGCCCCAGGGGCTGAGCCGGGCCCATCTTTTCTTCCCCTGCCCACTGCCAGCAGTGGGTTGGCCCATGCCCTCTGGGGGGCCGGGGGGTGGGCAGGAGCTGCTGCTCAGCATCCCCCTCACCCTGATGGCTGCCCTGGGGCTGAACACGGAGGAGCCTGGTCCCCTTGCTGACTTGGTCGGGTTAGAGGGATGAGCAGCCACTGCGGGGCCAAGGTCACCCGCCACTGAACCCCAGCTGGCACTTGCCTCCCGATTCTGGAAGAGCCCAGAGACAAAGGCAGTGCTGATGCCCTGGGAAGTTGTGGTTAAAAAAAAAACAAAAAACCTGGCTCCTCTGGCTCCCCTTCTCCAAGGCCTTCCCAAGGTCACTGTGTGGGAGGACAGCTTGCAAAGCAGGTGTTTGCAAAACCCTTGCCAAGGCAACTTGTATGTTTAACTCTCTCAGCGGCTTAGCTTTGGCAGGCAGGTGGGGGCAGGGGCAGGTGCACAGGTGCCCGGCCTCCCATGAGCAGAGCACAAAAAGAACTTGCTAGTCCCTTGGGCCAGAGAAGAATAGAGTTGTTTTGTTCAAGTCCAGCAAGAGGGTGCTTGGCTGGAATTGGGAGCTGTTATGAGCTGTTATGATCGTACCCTCTTCCCTTACCATAATTCCTGTCTAACGTGGCTGCAGGATGTGTCCCCCGAGCTTCTCCTCTTCGATTTCCGTGACACAGCCCTCTGGTGAACCTACCAGACCGATGCATTTGTGTCAAATTGCCAGATTCTTTTAACACCTAAAAGCTGAGTTCTGGTAACTTTTCCGTGATGCGGCGGCAGGGGACCGGGCCCCCACATGCGACCTGACCACTGCCACGCGCCCTCCCCGAGCTCGGTCCCCACCCACAGCCCGAGGCCCTCCAAGCACGACCGTGCTTCCCTCAAATATTTGACTTAGCATTGATTTCTGCCCATTTCCTTTTAGCCGCTGGTGTCATTCCTGATAGAGGGAGGGCTGTTCAACAAGTATATCTGTTGATTCACCAACCTGCCTGTTTTAGAACAAATTCCAAAACACACATCACTTGCTTCAGATGAGGTGCTCCATCAAGGACCCCGGGGGGCGGGGGTGGCTGTGCAGCCCGAAAGCCCCTCCCAGGCACCCTCGCTGGCCTGGCAGGTAACAGGTGCGGTTTCTGAGCCTCTTGCCTCTGCATAGACCGCACCACCCAAATGGCCATCCTGAGACCCGTCCCCCGTGCCCGGAGCGGCAACTCTTTGTGAACCAAAGGCCGGCAGCCCTGCTAGACTGTGGGGAATTAACCTGCCCTTTCTAGAGGCAGGTTTGCACCAACCAACAGACAACCCTGATCATCCCCTAAAGGACCGAATGAGCAAAACGGCCACCTCACATGCTTAGCACCCTGGGAGCCGGTGGGAGGCCTGTCAACTCTGCAGGCCACCCTAACCCTGCCAATCAGAGGACACCCTCGGTGACTGGGAACAACTGAGCTCTCTTTAGAGCCACATGGACGTGGTGAGTAGCTCTCATTCTAATTAGCTGTTTAGGTAAGCCGTGACCCTCAGTGGTCTGAGCACATGAAAACGTCTGATGTATGCCCACGGGGGATGCACATATGCCCCTATCTCCCAAACTAAAACTCAGGCCACAGAGGCTGATGGAAGATTCATTATTTATACAAAACGCTTTACACTAACGAACTGCCTTTGTGGAGGAGCACAACATCAAAGCAAACTGGGAGAGTCCCAGAAGATCCAGGCCTACGGTGGCCACACCAGCGGTCCTACTGCTCAAAGGCAGAGGGGGTCCCCGTCCAGCTTGCCAGGGCTGGGGAAGGGCGGGAGGGCCGCCTCCGCGAGGCTGCCGGGGGCTCCCCCAGCAGGGATGCTGCTGACAGAGCGCCGGATTCCACGCACCAGGCCATCCCACTGGCAGCCGGGAAACCGAGGGTGTCAGCAGGACGATCCCCAAGCAGCCAGGGCGGACAGGGGCCCCGCGTCCCGCTCCAGGAAACTGGCTGGCTGGCTGCTTCCCAGTTCCTTGGCCCACCTGATGGCGGACACCTGGAGGGGAGGAAGCCGAGGCCTCTGCCTTCGCCCCCACCTACCGCTCTGGAAATGGCAAAACACTTGAGGAAGTGCTAGTCTAAGCAGCAGAGCTCTGGAAGTGACTTCAGACGCTCTCTACTTCCGCACAGATGGGGCTACGCTGCTGGACAGCCGTCCGCCCTGACCTGGGGGTAGTGGAGGCCAGCATCCCTCAGGCCCCGGGGTCCAGGGGGCAGTCCTGCTACGCGCAGACTACCAACAGGATGCCAGCAAGGGTCCGCTCTCACCTCCAAGGTCCTCAATGAGGAGCGTTTGCCAAACCCCCACCGCCACGGTGCACCAGCCTCGGGACTTCCGCCCCAAACACGATCACACTTCCCTTCACCCCGCCTCACTGCCTGGTTCCAGCTTCTCACTTAAATCCTCAGCACTGCAGTCGCATCCGCATGAACGGCCCCAGAAAGATGTCAAAGAAATGGGCTGACCTGAGTGCCTCCGGGAAGGGCAAGCCAGGGCCTGGCGAGCCCAGGATCAAGGCCGCGTGGGGTGCCCTCCTGCACCTTTCACGTTCTGAACCCTGACGCACACCTAGTAACAAAGCCATGGAAATGCAGAATGCCAATAACAGCGGTTGTCAGTTACCACAACTTTCTTGGGAGGCTAGAGAGGAAGCCCCCGGTGAGTGTGGGTGGAAGGAACCGAGCGAGGAGGCCTGGAATGCCACCAGCAGCGACCGACCATGGTGACCACAGCCACGCTGGCCCCACTGAGCGCCGACTCCGAGCATTTAGCCCAAGCCAGCCTCTGCTGACCCACTGGACACAGCCCCCAACCAGATGGACAACCTTCACTTCCCTGCCCCCAGCACAGCCCGCCCCTGAATCAGAAGGTGACTAGAGCTTTGGGAGCCACTGAGCGGGAACAGTCACCTCCCCTGCTGCCACCACCACTGGGGTCTGCCCCACGCTGGGCCCGGGAGGCCGTCGGCAGCCAGGCCTCCTCAGGCACGTCACCGCAGGTCCTCCTTGTCCTCTCCTCCGGCCCAGACGCTCGGGTCGCGACACCGCGGGAGCCTCGCCACCCGCATCCCGGCCGCCACGGAGCGGGGAGCTGCCGTGCCTCGCCCGACCCAGCCCTCGTGCAGCGGAGAGGGCGAACACTTCACCCAAATTAAACCAGAAAAAGCAGGAGAAACCCTCCTCTCTGCCAAACCAGCCTTTGGAAACTAGCCGCTGCCTGCTCCTTTTCAGCCTTGTGCCACCAAGTGGCCAGACCACCAAGTGGCCGCGGGAAACAGACAGGAGCCACGTCCATTAACAAACCAACCGTTTTCTTTTTTTATTAGAGATAAAAACAGCGAAGTTCCACATACCACACCCTAGGGAAAACGAGACAGCGGAGGACTGGGGACTATTTACAAGAGCCATAGCCGAAGGACACCTGCGGCCTCGGGCCCCGTGGGAGGCTGCGGGCACAGCGCGGCTTCGGGGGGCAGGCGGGTCAGTGGCAGAGGGCGATGGTTTCCATGTTAAGGAAGCGCACGTGCATCTTGGTCTCGATGTCTATCCCCTGCCAGATCTGCAACGGACAGAGCACTGTGAGCGTGTGTTCCCACCACCGCCCGGCCCGGGGCCTCACGCGGGTCCCCCCACCCGCCCTCCCCGCCACCAGGGCAGGTGAAAACCAGACGGCTGGCTTCAAGACCGTGAGCTGAGCGAGGAAGAGAAACTTCCCTCTGCCTTTCAGCAGGTTAATTTGGCTCTGACATTTGGATCCCTTCTGATATTGTCACAGCAAGTTATTATTAAGAACGGAATCCAAGCTCTCGGCTCCAAGGCATTTCAATCCCACCCACCCCA